GTAGTGTGTGTGTGTGTGTGTGTGTGTGTGTGTGTGTGTGTGTGTGTGTGTGTGTGTGTGTGTGTGTGTGTGTGTGTGCGTGTGTGCGTGTGTGCGTGCGCGCGCGCGCGCGCGCGCGTGTGTGTGTGTGTGTGTACACGTGCGGCGTAGTGTTTCTGAACTGCTCTTTTAATTTAAAATGTGTAATTATTTTATTACTAATTTTAGAATCATTACTTGTTAATTATACTATTATTTATGTAATTAAAACTATTTTAAATTTCTTTAAGCTTCTAAATTTTTAATTAATATATGTATTTAATTTTTAGTAAATCTTTTCTATTTTTATTTGGTTATTTAAATTTTATTATTACTTTCTATTATTGCTTAATGTGAATAAAATTTTTATATTACTTTATTTCAAAATGAGATTTTGTTTATGTATTAAATTTTTTAAATATTTTACTTCTATTTTTTAATTTCGAATAATTTTTTATTTTTTTTTATTTCACAGTTTTATCAATCTTTAATTTTTCGATCTTTAATTTACTTTTATTATATAATCTACATTTGATATAACTTACTTTAGACAGCAGTCAGGAACTTTTTTTTTTAAATAAGTTCTTAATTAATTTTTTATTAATCAAGGATGATTTATTTGGCATTTTTATTAATCTTTAAGTTTGCATTTTTACTAAAACATAATTACTAAAACATTTTTTAATTATTTTTTTGTTTTTTAATTTAATTTGATTTTTTAAAAAATTAATTTTCAATTTTTTAACTTTTTTTATTTCCAATCCTTTTTATTTCTTTATTTTTGTTTTTAAGTTTTAATTTTAATTTTTTTTGTTTCTAGTTGTTTAATTTCTTTGTTTCTTCAATCTTTAATTTACTATTTATTTACTTTTATAATTTATTTACTATTTATTTATCTATATCTTTTTTAATTTTTATTTTTTTAACTTTTAATCCTTTTTTATTTTATTTTTTTATTTTACGGTTTTATTAATCTTTAATTTTTTGATCTTTAATTTACACTTATATATATTGAATACTCATTGGTCTGACGATGTTATACTATGTTTATGCCATGTTATGTATTTTATGTATAATGGGCCTTATAACTGTAAGCCACTATAAATCACTAAAATTTCCTGCGTGAATGCATATCTTATTGGTTAATCGAATTAGTACATCACTGGATAACCAATGAAAGACCACCAACGAAATTCTAACCTTTTTTAACAATACAATTATAACAATATATAACAATTTTTTATTAACAATAAATAGTTAACCCTTTTACAAGAATAAATAATAATTACCATGCATTAAATACTGCATAAACCATTTTTAGTTAATAAGAAATTCATGTGCAAAATTAATTAATTGATATCAAATTATTATGGTTATTAAGAACTAAGATTCGGCCTCGATGAAATGCATACTCTCTTCGTTGTGCCAATCAGTTAAAAAGCATATGCATTCATATAAAATTATAATTTTTAAAGAGACAAGAAAGAGATCTGTGCGTTCCATTACTTTTATTTATAAAATTCACTTCATATAAATATTTTCATGAATCACTTTTTACTATTTCTGTAAAGTATTTGATATAAAAAATTGGCGCCATTTTATAGGCCATCAAAAAATTGGCGCCATCTTATAGGTAATCATAGGTCTTATAAGTCATCAGTTTTTATATTTAAAATAGTCTTAAGATAATATTATATAACCAATAGGATCTATATGAACTTATTTAAGAGATTAAGATCGTCATAAAATCTTAAATATAAGAACGAATTAGGAATACCGGCCATAATCCCATTAAAGAGAATATTATACACAAAGAGATAAAAGATTTTAGATTTTTCAAACATTAACACTAACTTATAATCATCAATAAAATATCCAATATACATAATTGTTGTACTTTATATCTATATATTATAAAAAAAATCTGTAAATATATATGAAATAGTATAATATTAATAATATCTTATTAAATTATTATTTTTATATTAAAAAAAATGCTGCACTTATTTGGGAACTTAATGTATTGTACTATCTCCTTATGTTTATCCTTATGTTTATAGAACATAAAGGGGAAAATGGTTAAAAAAGGCTGAAAACACTTCTTATAATTTAATCGTCATTTATTGAATCTAACTAGAACTCAATCATCACTGAAACATGAAAATATGAGCTCTGCTTATCTCGGTGGTTCATGTTAATAGAACAGACATTGAATTATATATATTCTAATTGCATATATATTCTAATTGCACAGTTATTTTTCGGATCACGTTACCTAATGCCAGAAGGATAGTCATAAAGAAAAAAGAAGGTCTGTCCTTTTTTATCATATAGCTTTTCATTGTTATAAAAATGACAGAGAGTAAATTCTATAAGAAAATTCTCTAAGTGTACCTTAATATGTATAGAATAAGAAGATAAGTTAATTGGTGAAAAAGGAGATACATAGTTGTTTTAAAAAAATTATGCAATTTGCAATATGCAAATACGTACAAATAATTATATATTTTCTTTACACTTTTTAATTAACTTATCTCATTTTTGTACACAAAAATATGACAGTACGATTATCAAAAAAATGAACTTATTGAAATATTTTATATTATATGTCAGAATCTCGTAAATTATTGATTTTTCGATCACTTTACCTGAATCTTTTATATGTAGAATAATTAGAAGAATCAAATTATGTAAAAAAATCATATAGTTTCATTTAAAAAAGTGTAGTGATCTTTATACATATATTTTTAACGTCCACTGTGAAGTGTTAGTACATATACACATATATGCATACAGAGTGTCCCAAAATTCGCGACTCAAAATATTTTAAGAAAGTTCTTGAAAAGTTAAATAAAAAGTTTATTTATACATTTTTATTTCAAACATTAATTTTAAAATATAAAGGTTGTAATATGGTTCTAATAAAGGTTGCAATCATATATTACTTTTAAATGAACGTTTATCCATAAGTTACACAGGCAGTAGTGAGCGCGCACTTTAGATCATATAATCAGATGATCATTAATATAAATTGTAATAATTTGAAAATTTTTTGTAATCTACAATACTAGCGATGAATTTTGATTTACTGATATCATTAATTTGCGATAAATATTATAATATCTTGCACGGTAAAGTAACAAAAGCGCACACATAATCAGAAGTATGTGGTCACTAATACTACTGTATTCATGGATAAGTGTTTAAAAGTAATATAAATATAAGTAATATAAATGTAATGAGCCAACCAACTTATTTTATAATTTTTATATCTTAAAAACTACTGCTTAAAATAAAAAGTTACAAATAAACGTTTTACTTAATTTTTCGAGAACTTTCTTGCTATAATATTTTGAGTCAAAAATATTGGGACATCCTGTATATACATTTTTAATTTATGTATATCTGTGATTTTATGTCTTCTGTCTAGCATCTCTAGAATCTATCTCAGGTAGTTTGCCGAAAAGGATCGCATAGGCGTATTCTTCGCATAGGTGCCAAATGCCGGAATTTAAACAATATTCTATATCAAGATTCAATTTTTATACATGTTATATTATATATATTTATTATATATTTATATTATGAATTACATATTTAATAATTAATAGCACATCGAATCAATCCTCTTACGTATAATCTACAATATAAGCGTTCCTAATATATATATCATTCATATGTCAATGTCATATGTCAACAGTCTACATTTTTCATAGTTTGTAAAATATTTCGATATTTCATAATGATTTATTGAAAATGGAGCACATATTGTTTTTAATTAGGATTATAATTTTTTGAAGTTTTTACTTTTATACTTAGGGAAATGTGAACTATACTTTAGTATTCACTTGTCGAATATCGCGGAACAAATCTTTGCTGTCGCAGCACAATTCTGCATTTGGTAGTCAAACGATCCAAGGATCACTTTCGTCAACCGACTTTTGTCGCTTCGTAACGACATTTAGCTCGATACTATGGTCGATGTTACATCGTACAGTCTTCTCTGCAATATATTTCTTTTAAGAAACGATAGTTGTATGTATATTTATATTTATACATTTATCCTATCAGATAAATAATATATTTTCTTTATATAAAATTATACATATTGTTTTCTTACGATAGATTCAAGTTTCATAATTCCCGCTCAACCAGTTATAATATTATTCGGCATAGGCGTGGATGTCATGGCTACTACATAGTTTCTGTGGCAAAAGATTGGTGTTCGCAGGTTCGGTGAGTTTGCTCAATGCTATACTCGTTTTCCGAATTTTCATATAGCTGATGCGTGGTATAAATATAATACATGCTAAAAGTATTTCCGCTTTTAAATCATAAATTACTCAAAGAACATAATTTATGTGATATATTAAATACATTAACCTCTAAAATCATTATTGTAAGATCTATTGAATTAAGTAAGATCGATATCATAAGATGATATTATAATCATGTAGTCCCTTTGAAACCGTACAAGTTTTATCTGAAGTATTTTTTTACAATCAAAAATAAAAAATTTTATATATTATATAAAAGTTTATATATGTGTGTGTGGGTGGGGGGGGGTGGGAGGTGTGGTGTGTGTGTGTGTGTGTGTGTGTGTGTGTGTGTGTGTGTGTGTGTGTGTGTGTGTGTCGCGCGT